TTTTTTCATATATTTTCAATATGTCTTATTGTGCTGTAGCCCTCGTAGCCCTTACTGACAAAATTCTTTAAATTAAAAACACGATGACTCACCACTGTAGCTTGGTAGAATCAACAAGCAAATGAAAACCCAGACACGAGCCATTTTTTCTAGTCTATAGAGTCTAGAATGAAAAAAGGAAAAGACTTCAACATTTGATGGTTTTCAATCATTCCCATGAGAGTGAGCAAAACAAAAAGGTCCACCAGTCACGGTGGTGGTTTTCTTTTGTCAGGTCCACCAGCAATGGTGCACGTCTTTTGTGTAACTTTCTCTCCTGGGAATGGTTGAAAACCATTCATGATTAATTCAAGTATCGTGAAAGAATACAAACTGGATTTTTACCTTATCTTAGTAATGACTTTAGAGATATTATAAACCAGACGGTCACAGGRGAAATGAGATGTAAACGGTTTGAGTGCAGGAAAACCGTGCCTTCGTGTGACGCGACAAATTTTTCACGCTGGGCAAAGTTTCCTAGCAAGCATGACAGCCAACAATAAAATTACTTTATCTCATATATGCATACTTAATTCTAAGAAACTAAAAGCATGACTTTAACAATATATAAAAATGTAAACAGATTAACTTCAGAGTGTTCAGAAACCGAAGCTGGCTTTTCACTATCTTCAGAAACTTGAAACTTCAATAACTATAACATACTGCCACACAACCAATAGTACGCTACCATAATAATTATAGATAACTACTCTAAACCCAGGGGAGGATCTAGGAGGAGGGTTGAGGGGGTTGCAGCCCCCCCTATGATAGTGGTAGATTTGCTTAAAGGGCTACTTGGACGAAAATTGCGAAACATTAGAAAAGACTTGGAAATCAAATAGAACTATCCATATGGGTCTAATAACCATAAAGCAACAGATTTTAAGAAGATATTGATACAAATCCTTAATAATTTGAGCAAAAAATGTTGGAGTAGATGACGTCATTTGCTCCATCCTTTTGTTTTTCCATCTTTTGAATCAAAATTTCTCTGATGTGGGACAATTCCAAAACAAAGATTTTCCCGCAGTTGCTTTTAATAGATATAAATGAGTCATATATTTGTATTGCTTGAAGTTTTGAAATAAGGCCATTTTCATGCAAGTAGCACTTTAACACTAYTAMGYGTTATTGGTTAGGTACTTATGGCAGCATTTTACTCATCAGATACCCCRTTAATTRCRTCTTTAACATAGAGAAAAAGGAAACAAAAAAGCTATAATTAATAAAACGATTAACGAAGTTATCATTTTCATAAGATTTAAACTCACTTCCGGTTGGGAATCCTGTGGTACTTGTCCGCCAACCGAAGTAATTATGGATCGAAACTAGTCTCCCTATCTCAATGATCTATATATCTCTCCACCAGTCTAACTTTTGCAGCCCCCCCTCCCTCCCCCTTAAAAAAATCCTGGATCCGCCCTTGCTGCCAAGTTCAATGATTACCCGTCAGCCTTCACGATGCTATTGTTCCTTTGAAAACAATCGCATCCGCGACATCTCTATATTCTTTAAATTCACATCTAACGACTGGTTATTTGATTGACAGGTCGCGAATCCAAGGCGACGTCCGTCATTTTGATGAACCATCGCATGCGACCTGCAAAAGTCAATATTACAACTCAGCATGGCTACAACTGTCGTATGGTTATCAGACAATTGTTTTTAATCTTAACGACAGTAGTTGTAGCCATGTTGTAATATTGACATATGCATGCTGCATGCGACAATTTTAGTCAAAAGTTGTACCGTCTAAATCGGCCTGAATGCTCCTGATCACGTGGTCTCCATATCTCGTTACCAGGGCTTTACGATTCAGTATTTGGTATTGATTTATCGTCTATTGCATATACATTATATGGATCATACACATCAACGTCGTAGGAAACTCATTTATTCATGGTCAATTTATTTATGGTGCCATCTCCTTCTCGCTGTTTGATAGCGGTTCGAGTCCTGTAGCGGTAAGTCTTCTTTTTTCTTTGAATTTTCTTCCCGTTCCTCGTTCCTTTTTGTACTTTCTTTTTCTTTYTTTTTATTAAATTCCGATCACTTTCAATCCCCTTCTAGTGACAATTAAAAAAAGGAAATTTTAATAAATGGGTGACGTGACAACAGGACAACGCAGTAGGAATAGAGTTGACTGACAGGGTAACTTTAATAAAAACCCCCTATGAAAACATACGAACTATGCAAGTTTTTCTTTTCGAAAGAATCCTTGAAAATTCATCTTTATTGTGGAGCAGTTTAATGTGGGCAAAAGAATGGCTTTTGACAAAAAAATCGAGTGCAAGTAAAGTTACTGTTGAAATTCTTTGAGGACAGTCTCCAACCTTGTATTCATATAAGTAGGTTAAACAATGGCATATCAAAGATGGCGTAAAAACTCTAAAAAATGGAAAAATTTCAAACCAGGAAGGTAAGAGACGTTTTATTTATGT